ATAACTTTGTTTTCACTGTATGCATTGTGTTCTCCATTGCTTCCTTGTTTTCCTTAAACATCATCTTATTTCAGGCAATAAACAGGGTATTTTACAAGTAACAGCTATTTAAGTAACGTACAAAACAAATACTTCAACCTGTACAGTCTTCTAGTTGTGAGCAACCATGACCTGACTTCAGGGTATACTAACTGAAAACAGACTATCCAGTAATTAGCTTATGTGATGTAGTATTACTTAATGCAACCAGAAACATTAAAGTTGAGTGAAATGCAGAAATGTAGCTCTAGACTAAATGAAATTGAGGTGATGCAGAATGACTGCCTTTCTTCACAGTTATTCCACTTTGGAAAGCAGAACAACATTCTCTATATAATCCTCTGTGTGCCTTCCAAGTCATTTCAGGACTTCTTTCTGCAAAATTTCTTTCTCCATTACCTGTTTCCCTTCCTTCTAATCACAAAGCTATGCTAATACTCTTATGAATAACAGTAGAGCCTCCTACTCCATGATCAGAATTTGTATCATTCATCAAATGTTCAATCAAATTCACTAATGTTAAATCTAAAAGGCAAAGAGCCTACTAATTTTTGTGTTTGCTTTTTGCTTTACTTAACATTTGGGCTTCACCTATTTGTCTTCAAATCAGCAGTCACATACACTGTACTGTTGGCACTTAGCAGCACAGGACATTTTCCATGAGGCAGGTCATTGCTCAACTCACTGCTTGTTCTACAGGATAAGGCCTATGTGTAGATGTTCACTTAAGGACATGGTTTTGTAGTGGGTTTGGCAGTGCTGGGCTAACGGTTGGACTTCGTGGTCTTAAAGGTCTTTTCCAACCTAAATGATTCTGCAGTTCCATGAACTAGCAGGTCCATTCATATATACTCCACCTCAAGCTAGAAGTCTCAGATGCCTGGAAGGCAGCTGCAGTACAGGCACAGGGCTTAGGGGAGAAGTACTTCACAACCGCTACACTGTTATTCAGGAGAGTTTCCATACCAAAAGTACCAATATGCTCATAACCAGTGTACTCTGGTCTCCTGAAGTTCCAAGGGTCTTTGTTTTGCTGCTATGCCCAAATTGTCCTTCCTTTTCTTCTCCTGGGAAGAAGCAACATCTGTTTATTGCAGGTGAATAATGACACTTAACACTATTTTGACATTCTGAACCATTCACCAAAGTCCTCAAGCTACAGATGCAGAGAAGTCCCTATACCCCTGCAGAACACTATCTCTCTTTCCTCAATCCCACTCTGAGTTATTTCTATCATCTTTCACAGAAATGAAGTAGGTCATTGAAATATTATTTTGACACCACATAGCAGGAATTTGTGCCAAAAATAAAAAGTAAAGGAAAAAGAAAGAAAGAACAAGAAAGTGTAGGTTAGGGTTTCTTTAATGGGAGGCAAATCCCAAGAGTTCACATTTATCCTCACAGGTAGTCAGCTATTTTGGTCTCCTCCTCTCCCTAAAAACAGGGAGAAGTGTGAAGAGCAGCAGAGAACACTCAAGCAGATCAGAGTGTTAAAGGAGTGGAGGTTAAATTTTAGCCCCAAAAGGTAAAGTGAACAGAAGGGGGCAGGCTGGCAAAGAAGAGATAAAATTAGAAGTGTGACTAGACTTCACTTGACTGCTATTTCTGGATCAACTATGGGGAGAGCTCTGAGAAGGTTTTCTATTTGTAAGAGAAAGAGAGACCAACACATAGCTGCCTTCTAGAAGGCCAGCCCTGCACAGCAGTTTTGTTTATGCTGCTACTTTTCTGAATCCTCATGCTCTCACAAAATGCCATTATGAATCTAAGTGAGCACCCAGATGAGATTTTCTGGAGCAGGACAGCAATGCGTGTGGCATTTCAATCTAAGGAAACAAAGCTGAAAGCACACTGGAAATGCGTGTGGCAAATCACAATGCCAAGCAGAGTAAACCGAGCCATGTAATACTTTTGGCGGGCGGGGGAATGACAAAACCCTGCAGTAACTCTGAGAGGATGTCTTGTATTTTCCCACTCTAAAATGATTAGTGACATTCTAACTAGGTCCAATTATGGACACAGGCTAAAGAAGACAACAGGGACCTCCCAATTCCAGTATGTAGTGCTTGACTGACACCTGGCTCTGGGGATGAATGTTTCTGCCTGTTGGAGCTCTTTCCTCTCAAGTACCTCAGTTAAAATTCCTTCCATTGAGTAATTTCCATCCAGATCCTGGCTGTGTTGTGTTTGTTCCCATATAAAAGAAAACCTGCAGGCAGAAAGCAATGCCATCTGCCAAGTCAGAAGCTGCTTTAATGGACAAGTGTGGTGTGAAGGGGAACAAACTATTATGCTTTATCTTCAGCAGCAGGAGTGATGTTTTTCCTTTCCCAGGAGTAGGTTACAGTGAGCACGCTCATGCCTGAAGTATTTGCCCACAAATATACATAGATATCAACAGTTTCTGCACAAGCAGCCTTCAGAGAATAAAATTCCATCCAGCATCCCCTTTTTCTCTTTACCTGTCATGCCAGCTGTTTTCTTCCTGCGACAGCTTCATCAGCCTCCACTTTCTACTCCTGTAAGTTAACGACAACCCTGCAATTACACCTAGGAAGTATGAGCAGTGGCAAGGCAGAAATGCCAAGGCCCTACTGTCCCTCCACAGAGGATTCTGCACTGAGGCCGTTTATCAACATTCCTAATTTTCTTGTCCCTCTTCCATAACTGTTTTGGCTGGATGATTTGCTCTGAAATCTCATCTGGAGCAGGTTTGACTGGATGGTTTGCTCTGAGATCTCATCTGGAGCAGGTCTGGGATCTGTGTGGCACAGTTCAGGTTTTACAAGAAATAGCAGAAAAAATTCCTCTGAATATTCTCATCCCTGCAAATATCTCCAGGGCTAGGAAAAGATCTTTCTATTCTTGCCAATTAACCAAGCACAGTTTTTATCCTTCCTTGTTGGGTAATCTTCTCATTAGACCATCTTTGGAGAGAATAGTGGATTCTCTCTGGGCTGCTGGCAGTTTTACTTAATTGCATATTTAACTTTTTATTCAGATCTTGAACGCATAATGATGAGAAACACATACATGCAAGCAGCAAACTATTATCTGCCATTTAAACTCCTTCAAGAACTCACAAAATCTCAGCATTTCTGTCCCTTTCAGAAGAAAAGTGCAGACATTCCAGAGCTGGACCGGTGAAGATGACAAACACATATACATAACAATTTAGTGATACATTCACCACTCCTAACAAAACTCCAGTTTGCGAACAGGGGGGTACTTTGGTCCTTTATATATATTAAAAGTTCTGAGAAGAGCCAGCCAACTCAACCAATGCTGAACAGAAGCTAGTATTAAGAGGATCTGCTGTAGGTTCCTCCTCTCCACCAGGCATAGGACACTCTCAGGGCACAGCAACATTAGTCCTCTTATCCTCCCCACCCAACTCTAAGAGACTAATTAAGTAGATGCTACCATCCATAGGGATTTATTTCCTATTTGATCTCAGAGTTACAGAATTTGCTCCGGAACACACTTGTTACCACTGGATTGTGCTCTGGAGAAGCAACTCCATTTTAAAATGCTTCCAGCCCTTATGACTGTAAAACTTTTGAAGTATGAATGGTCTATAATTAGCAACAAACCCACTGAACTCTTCAAAACAGGAGAATGGCTTCAGTATTAGCTATTATCCTTCATCACAGTATGCCAAGTAGAGAAATTAATGTTGATAGCACTTCAGACAGATCTGATTAACGGATTACCTCAGAGTTGTAAAAACCTGACATTCCCCCAAGCAGGCGTAAAACCCCAGTGGTTCCAGTCTGTTTACCAAAACCTCCAGTATCCCCATGACAAACTGAGTCAGCTACGTGATGCCAATACAAAAACCAGTGTCATAAAGAAAACGAGTGCTGGAAACACGTGAATTAATCAGCATGTTACCATATTATAAGCTTTCCTAGTTCTCTGTTAAAAACCTATTCAATACACAAAGCTACCAGGTATTTCCAGTTTGCTCCATCACAGTTCAAGGGCTTTGCTGGGGATAGTCGTAGCTTAGTAAAGATAAGACTCTACCCAGACCCTGACAGACCTCTTAGGTGACCACTAACAGATTTGTTCTGCTGTCAGCAAGCATGGACTGTGAGGTTTAACAAAATGAAGGGTATCCAAAAGCCTTCTAAACATCCCAATTAATCAGGTTAACACCAGCAAGGACTTGGTAGCTTTCTTTAGGAATTCCCATGACAATTACTTCAGCTGTTTTTTAGTCTCACCATACAGAACCACTCTGGTCCACAACTGGGCTGCTTTTTTCCTAATGATATGGTTTAAAGGCATCAGAGAAGTCTTCAAATTTAAAAGCCACAGAGCAAAAGGCAGGTAAGCTTTATGTTCTCTACAGAATGGTTATTGCCCCATTTATTTAAGTGGCACTTATCACCATAGATATCTACTAAACTTCCTTGGCATATTGGTGTAATCAGTGCTTTGCCAGGTAATAGCCTTCTGCAAAGGGATCACAATAATAAAGAGGAGAATAAGCAAGTAAACAACTAGAAATGCCCCTTAAGAAAAGTCTTCAAAGGGAGGAAAGCCTGAAGACAAATGAGCATTTAAACACTTCCCCATTTAGGGCTATTTCATTGCACAAGATCCAAAATAGTTTCCTTCCCAAGTATTGCATAATATGTTCATTCAAAATGTAGCAAGTTTTCTCACAGAACACACGACACTGCTCTCTCCTCCGCTTTTTTTGTCTCATAAATATGAACACGAGAAATTCACAGCTGATAACATTCTTCTGGAAACTCACACAGAAAATTCTGGAAAAGACTCAAGTATGCATTACAGCCCTATAAGTAATGGCAAACGTCTCCACATGGTCAAATCCTTCAAGCAGCGCTCTGTGAAAAGGAAGCAACAGAACAAGTAGCTTTTACAGGGCCTTGGGAATGAACTCTGGCCTCCAAACTGGAAATAAAGAAATAAAGAAAAAGCCTACATACCTTCAAAGCACATTTCTGGCCTGTCTCCTTGTTGAAACACTCCAGTACCTTGCCATTGATTCCTAACCCTAGCACCCGTTTGGAGAGTTTGTAGTCATCTGTAACTGCATGTTTCTTTATCTCTAGCTTGACATGGGCCTCTCCTCCAGGCAAGGCTTTCACGCTGCTCTTGCTATCCACGTGACTCTCTGGCTGCGATTCCTGTTCACCTTCACTTTGTTCCATATCAGGGAAGAGTCTGAGATGGCAGCGATACCCAACAGATTCCCTGTAGGGTATCCTCAGCAAAGTCCCTCCTCTCAGCTGGTCAAACCAAGTGCTTCAAACAGTCCATCTGCTGGCCATTTAGTCCTGAGTGAAAATGTAAATGGGTATTAGCAACTGATGTCAACTGATCATTCTTGCACCCAACTGCTTTTCTCTCTCCCTCTCTTAACAAGATGACCAGGCTCTAGAGAGACCAGAAATGGAGGTTCACCTCAGGAAAGCATACTTGGTTTAGTTTTACAGACCAGTCACCCTCATTCCAATACTCACACACACATGTATATGTATCTCAGTCTGAAGTTATACATTACTTCTTTTACAGCAACAAGTGTCTGTGCTGAGTGGTGAACTAAGGTCTCAGCTAAGCTCTGTATAACACAACAGAGATAACCTCTGATTCAACGAACTTATAAACCTGCACCAACAACTTGTTGCCTCAGCATTTTAGGGAGAAACCTCCACAACAGTCCCCTGCCTCATCCGAGTTACACAAGAGAACCACAAATACCTGGGTTAAACCCAAGAAGGGCACTGCCTGGACAGGTATCAGGCCTGATGCTGGGCCAGCACTTACCAAATCTCCCCGCTCCATAGAGCGCGGGGCAGGTGCTGCATTACTGACGGGACCATCAAACCACCCAAGGAACTCGGGTATGTGGAAATAGAGCGGCATGGCTCCCAGAGGCGAGGAGCTGCCGGACACCGCTGGGGACCAGCAGGCCCTGACCTCTCCGGACTGCAGCCCCGGGGGAGGAACCGCTGCCAGGGCCTCCGAGCCCCGATAAGAGGGCTGAACCACGAGCAGGCGAGGCAGCACGGGGAGCCCGAGGCCGCTGCTCACGCCGAGGGGCCCGAGGCCCGCCCCGCACACCGCAGCCCCGGACCGGGGAGCAGCAACTCCAGCGAGGCGGCTCCCTCAGCCCCCTCTTGGCGCGGCAGAGGAGGGCGGGAAACCCTGAGGTGAGGTGAGGCGAGGCGAGGCGAGGCGAGGCGGGCCCCGCGGCGCGCAGGGGGGAGGCGGCGGAGGGGGACGGCCGGGGTGGTAACAGGGGGGCCCCAGCGCTGGGCCCGCCGGAGCACGGTTACCTGCCTGTGGCGGCGCGGCGCGGCCCCAGCCGAGGCTTCCCGGTGCGGAGTCCCGGAGGGCGGGGTTTGCCTGGGCCCGCCCCGGCGCCCTGGGCAGGTGCGCGCCGCCTCCCCCCTGCGCTAAGGGGAGCCTGCCTGCGGCGGGGCCCCGGCAGGATCGGTCCCATCCCGAGGGAAGCCGGCGGCTCCCTCGGGTTCGGGCCGGGCCGGGCCGGGCCCCGGTGGGCTGAGGCGGGGGGAGCGCGAGGCCCCGGGCGGAGCTGCCTCGTCCCCGCGGCTGCGTGGGGCAGGACGGGCGGTGCCCGGGGACGGACGAGCGGGTGGTGGGGAACGTGGTGGTTTTAAGGCACCGGCCACGTCGCTCATTTACCGGGGGAAGCGGCCGGGGACGGAGCTGCCTCGGCGGCCCCGAGTTTGTGCCGCAGCGCGCCCGCGCGGTGACAGGGAGGGAGGCGACGCCAGGCAAGGCAAGGCCAGGCCAGGTCGGGAGCAGCGCCGGCCCCGTCCCCGCGCCATCCTTTTAGGAACGGGAAAGGGCCGACACGTTCCCTCTGAAACCTGTGTCAAACGGTGAGGCTGTTGCTATGGAGCAAAGCCCAGAGAGTCGATACTGGACACACTATGATCCTTCATGCGCTGTGGCTACCGAAACAACCGGTGCTGTTATTAAAGGCGACCTTTTCTGCCAAATAAGCAGTCGGTATTCCTTGGGAGCTTCTGTATGCACAGTCAGGATATTGAAAGTGATGGTTCCCACAGCAACTGTCGCTCCTCACTGGTGCACAGGGTGCAGTTACAGGGATGTGAAGCGCTGAGTTTTTCCTCCATGTGAAGATGAGTCATGTGTTGAAATGGAGCTGTGTTTGTATCACTGGATAGAGCTTAAAGTTCACATGCTTTACAAGTTAAAAATACATTCGTCGTTTTACATAACATAACGGCATCTGGAGTTCTGACGGTTAGGGAAATAATTAAAAGGGCTAATGAGTCCTTTCTCCAAGGAATAAAAACTAGTTCAACTTAGCAGGATGCAGATCTGCAGCATATTGCCACGTGATAGGATGCTACCGCTATTCTGCCTCAGGTTTCCCTCCCAGGCGTTCAGCAGTTCAGCTACTGAAGAGCCTGGTCCCCTACTTCTGTTCACCTATTCTGGGCTAATCAAATCCCAGAGGAAACCAGCTATTTCCAGCCTTTCCTTCTCAGGTTTGGCTTCCAGCCTTCTTAGGCTTTGCACCACCTCCCACTGTGACATCTCAGGGAAATGTATACGTAACTGTAAGCTCCCAGGCTGCAAACCTTCAGTAGCACTGTTCTGCAGTCAGCAGCTTGCTCTTATTTCCCTTCCCACGGCTTCTGTCTGTACCGGCTGGTTTATTTGTCCTGGAAGGTAATTCCCTTCTCTTTGCAGGAGGTAACTATAGTCCTGTAGCCAGCTCTCAGTCACTGGGAAAACTTCTCAATCTCCCAGATCTCTTCTGTATTCTATAATTTGAGAAATACTCACACTGATGTGTAAGGTCCCATGCCCACCCCACTTCTGATCTTCCCCTCTAACTCTTACGCAGAAGTCTATGGCTGACCAAAGCAAGCAGAAGTTACAATGACCAGCACACTGGAGTTTAGCAGAAGGTAATTCATGGTCCTATTCTGGGAAATATTAAACACTGAGAAAAATTCCAAACACATGTCTACCCAAGGGGTTGCTATTTTTTACAGAGTGTGTCAGAAGCAAGGAATTTCATTAAGAAATTATGACTCTAACTATTACAAGAATGAGTTCCTACAAAATTAGCTTTGCCTAGAAAGAAAGGAGGAAAGATGAGGGAATAAAGGCAGGATTCTTCCATGTGAAGATACTTGGTTCTACGTGTCTCCGTTACAAACAGTCTCCCACTCAGAAGAGTTCAACTGGTAGGATACAAAACACATTTTTCAAGTCACTGCTGGAAACAGTACCTTACTGAAAGCTGTGCTTGTTTGGGTACACTGCTCAGTATTGTCTGTATATGCTCTTAACAAAGTTCACTGTTTTACCAGGAACCAGTAATAATTTAATCAGGGCAAAGACCTTAAAATTCCAGTGTGAATCATGGTTAATAAGGCCTTACAGCAACCCTCTGCTAATTTCACCCACCATAAACTCTGAAAAAGCCTTCCCAGCACCAGCCCAAGGATCAAACAGCCTCACTGTACACCAGGATAACCACAGCTGAGGAACAAAGAGCAAATATATTCCCTTGCTTTCTGTGTGCATTTTTTGTCTTGGATAGGCTGTCCAAGCACAAGACATACCTCTACCCCAGGCAAAACACAAATATGTGCAGAAAACCTCTAAAACTGCTGACTGACAGTTTTTCTCAATATCAAAAGTCTTTTTAACAGAGTGTTTTCACAAGTGACAAGATGCAACCTGATACTGTAACAGCCAAAACCATCCCCTGCTCTTGTGCTAACTTCAGAATCTCTGCCACCGGACATCTCCCCTGCTCATGCTCAGCTGATACTGGCTATTCAGAGTTACTCTATGCTGGGCAGCCCCAAGGCAGCCCGGTTTGGGTGCTGCACCAGTGAAATGACTGCTACAGTGACCTGGTGTGGCATCTTAGGGGACTGGACCCGCAGACCTGTGCCAGGTACCTGCTCTGAAGTTCCCACACTCACAAATCCTGGCCTTTGCAATCCACGCGCAGTTTGCACAGAGCCGAGAACATTCCTTTGTGCAATGTCCTACTCTTGAGCTGCTTAAAGTGTTATAATTCCTAACAAGCCCTGGGAAGGGCCAAGCGTTCTGGGTCCAGGCACACAGCTTAGAGTTAACGTCTGGGTTAACCACTTCACCCCAACACCTCTGGCATCCTAAAGGCAAGCAAAGTGGCCGCAGCTGCCCCCTGGTCTGGCTCCTCGAGCGTTGCCCACAATGTCTGCTTTAAATGCCACCTTTACATCTCCCCAGGAATTACATCTCATAAGATCAAAAACTTACACCCGTGAATCCTGCAGCTTCTCTCGTGCTTGTGGCAGGTTAAGCTGTGTTAGCATCCTTTGGACATACTGATGGAGGCCATGCTGACAGGCCCACTGCAGCTGACTGAGCCAGGGGAATTTTTTCATTGAAAAGAGGCTTTTTATTTATTCACCGATGTTTGCTTTTTGAAGCTTAAAAGAACTCAAGCACAGTACTATTACAGGGTAACAGCCCACTGTGTCAAAAGTCACAAAAATCCTTAAACCGGAAAATTAAATATTAATCCTGGTTTTACCAAAAATTCCCACCAGCAACAACACAAAATAACTTATTTCAAGAGTGAATTTAGTAGCTCAGCTGTGCCTGCCTTGCCCCAAACTAGAAGAGTAGCTCATAGGAGAAAATAACCAAACAATAAGACCCTAATCTTGGAACAAGATTTGAGGAAGCAGCCCCTTTTCCCTAAACTAGTGTGTTAATCAAGTGCAGCATTGTACTACAGCCAGCACTTTATTCCTTACTTCATTGAATCAAAGACTGGTTTGGGGTGGCAAAGACCTTAAAGCTCATTCAGTTCCAACCCCCTGCCATGGGCAGGGACATCTTCCACTAGAGCAGGTTGCTCCAAGCCCTGTCCAACCTGGCCTGGAACACTGCCAGGGATGGGGCAGCCACAACATCTTTGGGCAACCTGAGCCAGTGCCTCAGCACCCTCACAGTAAAGAACTTCCTTATATTGAATCTAAATCTCCCCTGTCCAAGCTTATAATGTACTGGAAATCACAGATACTTGGTTTACACACAGAAAGCACTACTGTTGAAATACAGCAGGTTAATTTTGGCTATCCCACTGGCTATTGTCACTGCCTTTTGAACATGCTGTAGCAATTCAACAACAGCAATATCTGGTTTCAGAGACATTTCAGACTTTCAAATATCATGTTTCTTAGCAAAAATGAAATGAAATATCTGAGTTTGCTGTCATCTGGAGAGCTAAGAAAGCTGATGTCATCAAATTCTTTAAGGGATAGCCTATTTTGGAAAAGTAATACTGGAAAGCTACAGTTACCTAAGTTTACATACAGAACTGATTTGCATGAGGTCAGTCCTTTGATAGCAGTGTCTTGTGGAGATCAATATCAGCTATAATAACAAATTATCACCATCAGCTGAAAATATTGTGACTTGTTTTTCTGAAACATCCTTTCTCTGAGTAATAGCTATTTATATTTTTCTGGCGTTATGAGAAATCCACTCTCTGGGATGTGTTATATAGATGTCACCAAAGAGAAAGTCCTTTGTATTGTCAGGTTAAAGTGAGGACACAGCTTTGTCTGACTGGGAGGCTGCAGTCAGACAAAGCTTATTAAATCTCTCAGGAAGTTCTTCAGACTGCGTCTGTGACACTAAAAGAAAGGAAGGGCAGCTTTACAGAACAATATTGTGATATGAGGGAGAAGAAAAGCTTCTTGTAGGATCTTCAGTGTAGTCTGTCATGTACACGGTGGTCTTAAGAGAGACTATGTACATGTTTTTCTCCTGCCTTGCAGTTCTGCTCTGGAGATGTCTGCCTCAGACTTATAAAGTCAAGAAAGAAGGGGGGGGGGGGGGAGAGAGAAAAGCTCAACAGCAGGCCACAAATTGAAACAGTTTCTATCATGCAAACAACTGGGAAAGCTCAACAGCAAACAGAGCAACCTCTTTTCTCTCCACAGCTGAGGTAACACCAGCTTATAAAGTTCTTTCATAGGCAGTGATGTTTACGTCATGCTTTGTGATCACCAAACTAGAACTACCTCTTTTTTATTCCCAAATCCTCTGCCCTGACCTGGGATTATAACATGGTTTCTAGGAGGAATTACAAATTGTGGCTATGAACCAGCTGCCAGTGGAGGAAAGGGAAGTCTCAAGAGCATCAGTCTCACTATCTGGAGAGCATGTCCTGATACCTCAGTTCCTCAAGATCACTTCCTCCCTGTAATCCCCACATACTCACCAGGCATTTTTCCACAGAAATACAGGTGAGGCTAGAACAGTTGCTTTTATAATCCTGGACTCAGACAACTTATTGCAGATACCTTGTCTTGCTTATCACAAATGTTTTGGGAGGCTCCAATCCCTGCTCCTCTACTAAGAGTTGCTGCTCAGGGACCCCAGAACAGAAGGAGCTCTGGGACAAGGCTTATGTACAGAGGGAGTCAGGCATTTCCTGAGGGGGTTGGACATTTCCATTTCAGCAGAGAGAGAGAAAAATAAAACGGCAGGGGTTTTCATAAAAGTATCATAAATCAAAAGATCAGAAGTTTTCCAATCTATCTACAGAAGATGCTGCTTAATTTTGTGCTGCAGTGGAACACAAGAAATTGATCTCTCATTTGAAAAATATCCTGCAGCTAGTGGTATGACAACAGTGTCTGATAGTCCTGGGTGGCCTTTCAGGCCTCTCAGGAATGCAGTTTTTGCAGAAACACACCATTTAATACAGGCAGAAAAGTCTCTAACATAGAAGCATCTGTTAGGGACTGCAATCATCTTCTAGGCCACCACATGCCAGCAAGCCTAGGGACAATGAATACAGAGAGGTCCTTACAGGAACACCAAGGTGTCTGTAGTCTGAAACGAAGCCCATTGCTGTCCCACACTTCCCATGGAACCAGCTCAGATGCGGCCGCCTCCATGGCACAGCTCACCCACACGCTGGAGACCTGTCCATTACTCCACACCAGGCTAGGAAATCAAAACCACACCAGTAAGTTCATCACCCGTGTGTCTTGATTACAGAAATTGCTGTGCCCTACTCAGCAACCAGATGGTCCATCTAAACAAGGACAGATGCTTATTGCTGTAATGTGTGTTGGGTCGCATGCTACTCCTTACATCACCACACGGGTGAGGGTCAGAGATGGCTTATGGCCACACAGCAGCCAGAGGGGCAACTTTCACTCTTTCATATACAAGCTTATAAGAAAGGCAAATCTAGTCCTCGAGACAACTCTCGAGAGTTACGATTTTGGATGTTATTTTTCTTCTTCACCAACTCTAACACGGTTACAGAAACGTGCAGCTGAAGCAGCGTGACCTGCCCGGAGTGGGAAGGCGACTCTGGCCGCCTGCCTTCTCAAACACACATTCATCAGTAGATGGTGCTGTTGTGTTGGTGAACTTCCGAAGGGACTGCCTGGCTCTCGATTTCTGGATTTTCCTACCTCCCTGACTCTATCCTGGGCTTTCTTTGATGCCTTTCACAATAAAGCCTATCACTCAACGGCATTTCTTGTTACTGCCTCTGCCGTCTTCTAATTCTTCAACACTGAACCCTGAAGAGCCATTTAGACCAGTATAAACTGGGTTTAAACAACCAATTTGTTGAAATGGCAGCAATTTATATTGGCTGTGCACAGGTAATCAATGGCACTAACAGTGGGGCATGGGCAAAGCAGGCACACCGTTCTGTTTCCTACTTAGGGCATTACCAGTGCGTGAGGAATGCCAATGAGGGGCAAAACGGTTAGGCAGAGTGATGAAGTATTACTGAACGCTCCTGACTTAACCCCCATCACTAATTCTGTCGATAAAATAACCCAGACATTAGCCTGAATACTGGTTTGGGCTGGGCCCCTAGAAAAGTTTCCAGTGAAAATGAAAGCTCCTTACATTAATACTCACACCCACCAGCTACTTCAATTTAATGGTCATCTTTCAGGACTCGCGGGAAGAGCAGCATGGATCTATTGACTGCAGGGGGAAGCCACTGCATCGGAATGCAATGCATACTGAGCAACGTAAGGTCTGCACTGGTATGAACACCTACACTGCTTCCACGGAGCACAGATACCGAACTGCTGACCGAGCCCCCCTTCCCATGCGATGTTTCCGCTGTAAGTCAGCGTTGTGTTTCTTGCTCCCGACATACAAACGGCTACTCCACCCACAGCACAGAGCCCGCACACAAAGGCTTCTCCAGAAGATCACTAGATGGAGCCAATTCTAAGTACAAAAGCAAGTAAAGCTCCCTTCTCAATGGCTGCTCTGGGCTGCAGTCCTCCTGCCTCAGAAACACAACAGCTGAGATCTCTGTGTCTCCTCCAAGGCTGAGGACGAAACACCTGAACATGCAGGTTAACTACAGCTTGCGGGAGGCAGCACCCACTTCCTACTCTCTAGGCTAGATAGCTCTGTTCACATCCATTGTGCTGCTGCACCACCAATACAAGGTTTTAAATCCCTCTGAACTGAGACAGGAAGGAGCACCTCCATGCAGGCATCCCCCTGCAACCCTGAGCCAGGACTACGCCTTTGAACGATCTTTTGACTGTTGTGCTTGCATAGGGCAGGTGAGGACTGAAATTCCTCTGCCAGCTCCTCACCTCTCCTGTGAATTTACCCATATCCAGATGAAGCATGAGCTGAAGTCAGCCTCAGGCTGAGACACAAACTGGTCGGGGGGGGGGGGCATGCTTGATGACATTCCCATCCCACTGGACAGCTCTTAGAGGGCCCTCAGCCCCTCTCTTTGTACAGCTCGGTACTGGCAGTAGTGCTTGTTACAGCACTGCCCCTGATGTAGTAAAGAACAGAGATGGAAGCATGCAGAAGGCTAAACAGCAGCTAAAGGAAACAGCAGGAGCCAAAGGCTGAGTAAGGAGCTGAACTTAGGCTTCCCGCTCTCAGGCTCGTGTCTGGCCTGTGAGAGCATCCTCTGACACTTATCCTTGCCATCACCTTCCCCTCTGTTCCCACCCCATCCACTTTGGTTCTGAACAGCACAATGACTAGTATTTCTAAATATTCAATCTACTTCAGTGGAGGTGACAGGCACTCCACTCTCACACTCTCTCTGCTCCCTGCTATGTGAAGAGGTGGCACCCCATGGCAGGGAAAGAACAATCACGTTTCTGTTATAAAGCATTTGGAGAGGCTCAACAAGGCTATAAGCAACTGAAATTCTTCCCCTTGGGTTACCCAGCTCTAACTTGACAATGACTTATGAACGCAGGACAAACTGGTGGGGGTGGTCGAACCTTTCCCAGGAGTCTGAAATCCAAATCCACAGGGGATTCCCGGATGACCAAGGCATGAAAGCACCGTGCGCAGTGTGACAACCTCCCTTGTTTACCGGAGGGGGGGCTCAGACCCTGCTCTCAGCCCCACAGCCACCACCTCCCTCAGCACCCAACGGCGCAAACGTTCCCATGACCCAGGGAGGCGCTGCGGGTGCGGGAGGATGCTGAAACCGGCAGAACAAAATGACAAACAGCACAAACGCGTTAACCCGCATGGGAGGGGTAAAAACAAACGCGTGTGAGCAAGGGGACTGCGGGGAGCGCGGCGTGCCGACGGCCGCGCACATACAGCGGATGCCCGAGCCGGGACCCGCCGCTCCCCACCGCACTCCACCCCGGCGCTCCCGCGCATGCGGTGGGCGGGAGGCGCGGCACCGCCCATTGGCGGGCGGGGAAGACAGCGGCGGCGCTCATTGGCGGGCGGGCGGCGGCGGCGGCGCTCATTGGCGGACGGGCGGCGGCGGCGGCGCCCATTGGCAGAGCCCGCCGCGGCGGCCCCGCGTTCCTGGAAAGTTCTTGGAAACGGATCAAAGGCGTTTCCGCGAACACGCGCGGCGGCGCCGGTCCCGCTCCCGGTGCGGGTCCCGCACGGCCGCAGCCCGCCCTGCCCTGCCCCACCGCGGCCCTTACGGACACCGCTATTTATACCCTCTGCTTCCCCTCCCTCCGCTTCCCGCGTGGCTGACACCGGCAGCGTGATGTGAACACAATGCGATTCCAGGAACCCCTCGCTTCCTGGAACAGATTAAAAGGGGCACACAAAAGATTAGCCAGGAGGCTCCTTCTCTTTTTCTCCCCGCCGAGCCTCTCCACTGGGGCAGACAGGGCCAACGCAGGGCGCTGCGCTCCCGCTCTCCTCCCCCTGCACCCTTATTTATTGCTACCTATTTATTGCTATTTCAGAGCGCTCTGGATGCTTTTTTCTCCCGGATTGCTCTGAAGGAAGATTAGTTCCGCTTTACACACATGTAATTTCCCTTTTCTCTGGGTATTTTTTAAACTTTTTTTTGTTGTTGTCTTTCTGTGGAAAGCAGAACAAGAACACTTCATTTTCTGAAGCACAGAGCGAGAGGGAACGCATCTTCCCGGCTGAAGTTGCTGAACGCGCTGTGAAGCCTCTCTCGGACAGCCCGATTCGCTTTCGGCTTGGCTTTTTCTGTGTCTTCAGTGGAAGGCGTTTGCTGGGGCTCTCCAGCCTTCTCTGACTGTGAGCCCCTAACCAGAGGCTGGGACTAGCTTGCTCCGGCAAGGAAGCAAAGAAAAAGGAGACAAGAAGAGAGAAGAGGAGAAAGCATTTCCTACCACCTTGAAGACTTAATGCTTTTCCCTTGGTCCAGGAGTGACATGATCCTCTGTGTTCAGGGGTAAGAGACTCTGCAACCTTCTTTTAAATGATGTGGTTTGACAATTGTAATTAGTGAGATTCCCAGGGATAGTTTTTCGGCTCGTGTGAGTTGCCATGTGTGATTGTAATGGAACAGTAATGGCTTACACTAGCTCAGTGCTGAGTTCTGTGTGTCCTGTGTATCAACTCTTTACATTCCACGGCTGAAATCATGGGACCATGAAGTATTCCTGCTCTCTGCTGCCAAGCTACGTGGTTTTCAAAGTCTGGGGGGGGAGTAAAAATCAGGAAAACCTTGGAGTGTGTTGTTCAGCGGCGTGTGTAACACCAGTGGGGCCACCAACCCAGGGCTGTAGGGCTTTCTCTCATGTCCCGGCAGCAGCAAACTGCTTACAGGGAAAAACTTCCCCACAATTCAGATGGTTTTGCTGATTTCTAAGTCAATATTTGTGTTAAACTCATTAATTTCATTTTCCAATTGCTTTTATGAGTGAAGATTAAATGTAGGTACATACATAGAGACCTACCCATGCATGAAAGGTGTGGGGGGGCACATGTATGGTTACACCACTTTTGGTCAGTAGAACAGGTAACGACCACATCCCTTCTCCGGTATCAGTGTGCTGGCACTCCAGTGTCTCTGTGACCAGCTAAAGTCATCAACACGTGTTAATACTTGACCTGCAGGGATCACTCGGCATTTTTACACACACTGTGTTATTTGGAAGGTGTCAGCATTTGTTTCAGCCAGAGCTGTAGCGTCAGCATTGCCTATGCGGGTTTTCCGCAGAGGCAACGCGTTTGCCTTGTGTGCTTTAAATGACTAAAGCATGGGGATTTTTCTGCTATTTCCCCCCAAATCTGTTCCACAGATAGGCAGAGCTCATGCTTACCAACACTTTCCTACTACTCAAGTGGGATTGTTTTCACCCGCATCTACAGTCTGCTACTGCAGTTCCCATAGCCCTATAGGCAAAGGGAATTCATGTTTCAGCTTGGGCTTTGTGAAACCCTTATGTGAAGCTTTTCTCCAGGGTTAACATTCCAGAGCTACTGTTTCCCTTCACTCACTAAGAACTTGTTATGTAGCCCAACACGTAGATGGTTGCCTCTTAATGTCTATTTTAATGACAACTTATTGCTCAGTTTTCACTATCCTATAGGATTTCATATAGCCTGGCTCCATGCTCTCTCTCTCCTATCCAGACCGAGCTCCCTTGGGAGTCTTGGGATGTGGCTGATGGAAGGGAGAGCAGCTCAATACACTTTTTCTTGTACTATTTGTACTGTGTTACAAAGTTTAGCTTATCAGCAAAGGGACTGCAAAGCTAACACTAAACGCTATCAGACATACCTGATTCTCTTAAACTTTCTTGGCTTTCCATGGCCTGTAGAAACCCTAATTGCCAAAGCACAAGGCAGTTCATTTGCTGTTTCTCTGCAGATTCCACACAGGCTACCAGCTACACGTGCTGTATTTTGTACATTTGTTTTCTTCTGCATGGCAGTTGTTGTACCAACACTTTGCTCAGTCCTGATCCTCCACATCTCCCCTCTACTTTCTTTCATACAGGCGCTCCTTATTTTCAAGTACTTACTGTGCCCCATGAAAGGGCTGACTTTTCATGCCAGTACCTTTTTCAACATGTCCTTATCCCAGAAAACTCTTCTTAACCCTCTTGCAAATGTATCTCTGTTAAAACTTGCAGTCTGCTGTTACTGATCCCTCTACTCTCCCTTTCTTGTGCTCGGAGCTGCTCTGTTTGGTCACAGCAGCAGCTCCTCTGTCTTCAACCCACACACAAAGTTGTTTAAGACGCTGTTGCCTCCCGGTCTATGAGAATTTCCAATCCCCCCTCCCTGTTCCACTACACAGGGTCTGGGCTCCTTCAGCTTCAAGTGGCAGAATGAGGGAGCACAGTGGGAAACCTCATCTCAAGCACACAAGCTCTGCTTCGGAGATCCACAGTGGCTCTATTAAACAAACCTACTGACAAATTCACACAGCTGATGTCTTTCGGAGGACTCAGCTGTGAGCTGGCTCAGCCCTTGAAATGAACACCTTTCCAGAGGGAATCAGGCGTATGTTTCCCTGCGTAACTTTGCTGTCTCTTCGCCAATTCCTAATGCCCTCTCAAAAGCAGGTGTATCTAAAACGTAGTTCCATGCTAGGAAAACAAGAAAAGTTTTCTTCCTGTTCAAAACCAAAGAGGAAAATAAGTACAGAGAGGTTTGGAATTTGGACTGCAGTGTCCAAGCTCTGGGGAGCTAATGGGCAGTGAGCAGTGCAAGACTGATTTTACTTAACATTGATCACTGTCCTTTTCAGCTCAGTGAACAGTTGGCATCAGAACACACCTGACAGAGACTGCTCTGCCAACAGACCCTCTTTGCACAGCACGAACTGTTCTATCAGGTTCAGTACGGGGAAGGATCTGGTTTATAGACCTCTACTGCTCAAAATGGGGGGAAGCGGAGAATCTCAGGAATCTCCTCCCTCCATGAAGGCAAGCAGCCAGACACTTGCAAAGACCATGACATTAAGATAGAGATAACCAAATACCTTTGAGAATGCAGGCCTCAACACCTACAAATGTAACTCAGGTGGGACTTAAAAGAGAGCTCAGAGGTTTCCCAACAGCAATATCCAGGTAGAAAAGTCTCTTCAGAACTACGGTTCTGTGAAAGGCGCTAAAAGAACAGTCCATGCGATCAAGGGTGCCTGGAGAAGGGCCAGCAATCAAATCACTTTTATTAGCTTTGGCTTCCTACCCATTAAGAGATACTAAGCAATGAACATCAAATACTATGAACGTCAAGTAGATATCCTGCTTCTGAAACGTGATTTGACATAGGGAAAAAAGAATGTTCTTTTCTAAATACTAATGGGACTTTGCTGTGTACTGCAATACCCATACACAGGACGGTGGAGTGTGCACATCAGTTGACAACACATTTATGTATGTACCTCAAGTGTCACTCTTCACATAAAGCACAGAGAAGGAGAAAGATGAGAAGGGAAGTGCTTAAGGGAAGTCTCCTTCCACTTCTCACTGATACGGGAGGACGAGGCTGCTGCCTTTGCAATCACCATCAGCTCCAGTGGTGCTGTGATGGTCTCACATTGAGGACTCTGAATCTCTCTGGAAACTCACCCATCTTATGTTAAGTATCTGAAAGAATGTCTCAAGCAAGTGAGTGCATGTGGGTGACACAACACAGGCATGCAGCAGTACAGGGCACACAGAGGCAAACAGCCTAGGAGAAAAGACAAACTAATAGTTTTGTTCAGGAGCTTGCCTGGGGGTGAAGACTTCCCTGGCCCCCAGCATCTGCCCTCACCCTGGAGCTCTGCTTTCCTTTAGGAATCCTGCTGCTGCAGAGAAGGAGCACCTATGGCCCATGAGAGCTCCAGGTTTTATGAAACTGCACTTACATTCTGGATGGCTACACTGCCACTCTCTCTAGGCCACAGAGGGATTAATATTCATAGCAGCCCAGTCATGGCAGCACCTCTCCCCGCTGTAATCCTGCAGGGATTACAGTTGCACTGAGATCTGCCATGCAGTTGAACACTAGGGATTGTGTGGTGCACAGGCTTAGCTAAAACAAGAACTCCCATTATTCTACTACAAGATCAGCTCACCCTGATTTCTAACAGACCCATTTAGGATCAGGTCACCCCAAGCAGGAATCAGGTAGAACAAACCTGAAGCTATTCTCCTTCTAATTATATTACAGTAGATGACTAACAAACCCAGTGGCACAAAAAGAAATGTTCCAGCATTGTCGTGGTGCAAGTGAAGCTGTAATGATGCTGTGAACTTTACTGCCTCTGAAACTACACACTAAAAGGCAACATCTAAAAATACCAGGTTTAAAATCAACCTAAATTGCAAGATAGATCACCTTTTACAAGGCAGAAGAGGCCAACTCTTTCTCCCTCTTTCTAAAGGCTCATCTTTAGCTGTGTAATTTTCTCCCCCTTTCCTCTCTGTTTGAAACATTCTCATATTGAGGACCTGCTTAACATAACATGTATGCAGCATGCACTGAACAGACGCTGCAACCTATTTCAAGGCAAGGAAACATAGCAGAGTATGCTCTTCCTTTCAGACCTCATCCTTTGCTGGCGGAGGAAAAGATCAGGAGACTCTCACTCAGGGGCCTTGTGGTGGAACTGCCAGTGCCCATCATGCAGCCTCTCCCAGTAATGGCCTTCCAGGAGGAGTCTGCACCTGCCTTTGCAGCCCCAGTTCCAGAGAGCAACCCACCTCAGATCCGAGACCCTGAAGAAGACCTTCTCTGTATTGCAAAAACCTTCTCCTATCTTCGAGAGTCTGGTAAGGTTCAGCTCACAAAGTCATGGCTGCAGGGCGCCAACTCTGCAGTCTGAGCTCCAGCAACAATCTCGTGATCCCACTTCAGATAGGGACCTGGCTCTGTTACAGCCATGGCTGGCTTGTGGATGCAGCAAGTGTATTTTCAGTCTCTGCAAACTTGTATCCTGAAGTAATTTATTATCACTGTAAGCAAAAGCTTTGTCCTTTATAACTGAGTCAAGATGGAGAATTGCAAAAAAAGTCTCTCTTTCTCTGCAAACTGCAATAGCGGCAAGAGTAGTCATCCTCATCCCCAGCCCCAGCATGGCAATGACAAGCATAGGTATGAAACCCTTAGAACGAAGGGTTCTAAGAACCCTAAGAACTAAGAGATGGCCGATTTCTGAAGGTCTTACTGAAACTGGGCTTGGTTGCTTACCAGGTTCTGAGCTCAGTTGGCTTCGAGGCTTCCCTAAGTATAGTGCCAGTCCTTTAATACATTCTTTGCCTAACGAGTTCTTTCTCGGATGCTTTTCCAGGTTGGTACTGGGGATCTATCACTGCCAGTGAGGCTAAGCAGCATCTCCAAAAGATGCCTGAGGGCACCTTCCTGGTACGGGACAGCACCCACCCCAGCTACCTGTTCACACTCTCTGTCAAGACAAACCGAGGTCCCACGAACGTGCGCATCGAATACACTGACAGCAAGTTCCGGCTAGACTCCAACTACTTGTCCAAACCTCGCATCCTGGCCTTCCCAGATGTGGTCAGTCTTATCCAGCACTATGTCATGTCCTGCACAACAGAAAGCAAGAACGAGGCTCCTTACCCGCCTCCGTCTCCTCTACCTCCCCTGCAGAAAGAGATGGCAGCAGCTGCAGTGCACTTGAAACTCATCCGGCCGCTCGGCCGCAAAGACAACATCCCCAGTCTCCAGCACCTCTGCCGGCTGCGGATTAACAAGGCTACAGCCGACGTGGACCAGCTCCCTCTGCCCCGGCGGATGGGGGACTATTTGAAGCAATACCCTTTCCAACTCTGAAGCATGGCCATTACACCTCAGGCATGACAGACAGGGACAGAAATAAGAGAACTTTGTGTCTTTGTCCCGCTGAAGCACGACATCAGGTGGGCACAGTAAAGACCTGATTATCAGCAGAGACTGCATCAATATTTCCTCTCCCTTTCTTTCTGTATCCATTCCAGCACCAGGGAGGAGTTGGTTGTTTCAGTGAACAATGGGACACAAATCTGAGCTCTGAACCTCAGGCCGTGCCGACAGTGGCTGTGAGAAAGTGCTGTAGGCATGGTCACACTACTTGAATTTCAGAGCTGCTGTGACACCGGCAATGTTAACATTGTTATTTTCACTATTTATTTCCATGGCAGTTTCTCTCCTCGTAGTATTTTAAAAGCACCTTTTACTTTATTATTTTTGTTTCTTTTTCTTTTGTGGAATTACAGATAGAAGAAAGTCCCCCAGCCAAATGACAGCCAGAAATCTGTGGGAATTTGGATTCGCATTCAAATAGTACCTGTTTGAACCTGTCCCTGTAACAGGTCACAGGAGTCCGTTCAAGTTCCCCCAGACTTCTGGGATATGTGGGACTCAGACCCACCTCTGCAGAGGTAAAGAGTACTTTTTATTTCCCCTTCCTTAGCTCCAAGGGACTGGGTATCATAACCTCAAAGCACACTGGTAGCTCCCAGAGATGCATTCTGCATCATAGGTTGTGGACAAGAGACTTTGCCAAGGAAGCCCTTCTTCCTTGACAGCTCTTAGCAGAGATTCTCAATACTGAGCTTGAGCCAGGGAGCACTCATCCCATTTTTTTTTGCCTTCCATCTTCTCATGTCTATGACAAAACATTTAGACACAAGTAATCAGACCCCCAACTTTCTTATTTGCAGGCTGGTTTCAGAGCACTCTGCATGTGGCTTGGGTTTTGAAAGTGCTGTTTCCTGCCATTACCCTTGCCTCGCAAGCAAGTGGGGGGGTTCAGAGACAGCTCTGCTGAGCTGCACCAGTGACACACACAGAGCTTCAGGATATTTATTTATTTATTTGGGGGGGGTTCCAAGTTAGAAGCACCTCAGCAGAAAGAGCTGTCCTTCCCCTCTGCTAACACAACGCCAGACTGCAGTTGCTCCGCCTCTGCCAGCATTATGCAGGAAGCACGCAGCTTCAATCAGAGCAAGGCTCTAGCACACACTGGAAATCACAGTTCAGCGTTGCTGTTTGCCTAGGTCCAGACCTCTCCTCTCCCTTTCTCTGACCTGCATGTTGGATATCCTTCACTGGATTCTTTGCTTTGGGTTTACTTCTCACACCCCTGCAAACGAAGCACAATGGCTTTCCCTTGCTCTTTGGTGGGTAGGAGGGACAAACAGCAGATGGGGTCTGCCCCAAACTAAGCATAGACAGGAGCTGCCCCCTCCTGTTAACTTGCTTGATCCCATCGCCTTCCTAGCCTGTAGGAGCCAGTCCACACCATCAAGTGAGAGCACAGAAGGGAACAGAAAAGGTCTGTAGCAATTATTTTTCAGCTTCTTTTGCCTCTAAGACCCTGTAACTTGACCATGCTTGAACCAATGGGACTGTCTCTCTGAGGCTCTCTGTAAATTAGAATAGACAAACCCCAGCTACACCTGAGGGCTGGAAGAGGAGGTGGAAAAGGATGGGATAGTGACCCAGGAGACAAGCTCAAAAAATGGGTGGAGTTTTTTCATCCTATCTTAAAGCTGCCCAAAGGGACAAGATGGCCTGATGTGCTCAGTCACTGTCCTTGTTTTTTTTCACCACATTTATATAAGTTTGTGCTCTTGTAAGCTTTGGTTTTGATACTTTGATGATTGACAGCGTGCATGTGTGATGTCAGATTTGCTTTTTATTACATCCTTCCCCCTTACCCCATATGGCAGTAACCGTGGGAAAGTACCAAATGAGAATGAAAACTTAGGAGACAACAAGAAAGTGTTTTGGTTTGGTTTCTTAATGATATAAACCATAAACCACTGAAAAGGCTTCCTTTTATCCTAACACCTCTGTCTGCCTGAGGACACTGGGAACAAGGGAACCACAGCTCTTGAAGGAGCAGCAGTGATCTCAGGAAGCCCACATGGCTCAGCCACAGGCTTGGTATCTACAGCAATCATTTTGAGAAAGGGCGAGTTGTTCAGCTCTGAGACTTGCCTCCTATTCAATCTGTTCTCTGTTGGGGTAAGGAGGAAATTGAGCTTGCAGGTTTGACCACACTGCCCCAGGAGAGCCTAGCTAGAATGGGAGAAGCATGTGAAGAGAATGACTGCCTGTTCCACCCCCAGCAGGACGATGCAGAGGCTGAGCTGAAGGCTGTAAGCTCACATGGGCAGGGACCATCTCTGTTGTATGTTTGTTCCGCATCTAGCACAATAGGGTTCTCTAGGTGCTACTGCAATACCAAGAATAAACAATACAGTTACTCCAAAACCTCAGTTTCTTCTATCTTGAGACAGTTTGTTAAAAATCATTGGACTTGGATTTTAAATAAACATTTTAAAGATATTTTGAAGCCACTCAATGTAAAAGTCTTGGTAACGTCCAAATGGACGGATTCATTTCCTACTCACAGGAATCCTGCCCAAAAAGACTGGGCAAACTCTTGACCATTTTTTTTTGTGTGTTTCAACAAGACACAAAAACCTTTAACAAAAAGAAAAGCCCTTCAGGTACTGGGGGAGTTAACACCAGCATCATCATCAGCGTGGGCCTGGTTTCTGTCACGCACAGATGAGCAGCGGCAGACCACAAGTCCCAAGTTAGTATGGGTTGAAGGAACATTCTTTAATGATGCAGCAAAACACAGCAATGGTTTTGGCCTTGCTTCTGTGTGCCACAGAAAACCACTACAATCTAGGGGAAAAGGAACGTGACTGGAAGTTTGGCAACTTGTTCAGAGCAGGCTTCAAGTTGGCCCTACAACTCTGCTCATGGTTGAGAATCGAGGCCATAAGGGGCAGACCATACCTTGGGTGGCAGACACAGCATCAGCTTTTCCCCATGTGCTGCTGCTGGGCCCCAGTCTCCTCATATATGCAGTCCGGCTCAGCACCCCTTCCCTTCCTCATCACCTCCTGCACCAGACACACAGCTGGAAAAACCACTGGGAGCTGGATCTGCCCTATGGTGTCAGAGACCACCTCATCCCTCCCACCTCTGTAAAACACAGGGAATACCCTGAGACAACCCTGCTCCTGGCCCATGACTCCACTGGGCCCCCTTTGCACTCACTTCCCAGGAGAGATGCTCCTGCCACAGTGCCCCCATCCTGCCCAACGCAAATCATGGCACGCTCTAAACCACTGGAAACACCAAAATAAGCTCACAAAACCAAAACATTCCCACTACTTCCTCTCTGTCATTCTCCCTTTCTGAATCCCCTGGCTTCAAAGTTCAAAAACCTGCTTTAAGGTGTTCCTAAAGCATGTGCTGTCCTTCCTATGCCAGTCATGGGGCAGGCATTCAGTAGTGAACATTGTTTCCACAACCTCATCAAAGTGAGCTTATGGGTAATTTCCATTGCACACCAACCAGGACATGTTGGCAATGGAATAATCTGCTCAAGTTTCAGTTGTTAAACAAAAACAGTCACATCCCTCTTGGGTTTAGGGGAAACGCGGGAAGCAAGCTAGACAGGGTACAAACAAAACACAATAGAGTCAGTGCAAAAACGAAGACAAAAGGAAGGAAAAGCTGCATCCATCTTTGAAGGGGAACTTCGAAAACCCTGGAAAATACTGCAAAGAAAGATGCAGCACTTCTGATGCATTATTAAGTGATTTCTTAATGTAGTTGGGCTAAACTCTCCCCCCAGCTACACACATGAAACCCTGCTGCTCCTCTCTACAGGCTGAAGGCAGAATCAATTGGCATGAGTCAAGCCAACACATAACTGCAGTCACACGCGGCTTTACTGCATCGCTGTTATCTTAACGACTCCCACTCCTGCATCTTCAGCACATTTTGTTAAAGCAAACAGGCTCATGTTCTGCAAGCTCCCACGCTAAACCTCCGTGCAGGCTCAGCTGATTCTTACAGTAGAGTTCCATATCTCCGGAAGCAGGAGCATGCGGGGAGTTGTAGACTGACCTTTATCATCACTGAAGGAGAGCTGCCACACCTCTGCCCGTGACACCTGCATAGTTTGCTGAGCCCATGCATATGATTTGGTTGGATTCTCTCCTGCTTTGCAGTTTCTGACTACAGACAGACATTTGGATGTGCAGCCCCCCCCGAGAGCGGATGAAAATCAGACTGACAGGATTGGGAATAGGAGTCCCAGTCCATGACTGAAACCATGCTGCCATGGCTCACCGCCACAGCACAAATACCCTGCAGCTTGTCAGGCACATATGGTAGCATTTTCTGTTTTAAATACTCAGCTTTCTGAAATGGCAACACAGGCAAGGGAAAAATAACCCGTTTATGTGCACATATTCCTATCCTCTCCAACTTCCTGAAATCTTACTCCTTTCCCCACATCCTCTCAAGTTAATAACTTCCCTTAGCCGAAGCCAGATGAACCAGCAAGAAGTGAAGTGAATCAGCAGAGTGTATTTAATTCTCTTACGACAGACACGGTCAGGTGTTGCCAGCTATCTACCTGCTCCATGGCATTTGTAGTCCAAACCCCATTGTCAGTTTAGCATGCTACCTAAGGAATTAAGAAAATGAAAATCAGAATTAACTGGACACTGCATGCATGGTTCTTCTGCTCTGCTGGACCTCACGTTCAAATCTGCCACAAGTTATCACGGTCCCTTCCTGCCTCTCCCTGCTGACTGCTGAAGCACTTGAAATCCTCATGGAAATGCACTGTCCTCTTCCCCACCCATGAACTCAGCAGCAGTCCCAAGGTGTGGAGCACATGGTGAAGCAATATCCAGTAAAGAGGTGCCAGAGCAACTTGGGATGACAAGTAACATCTTCCAACTCAGTTGCTACAGCACTGTCAACAACATTCATATCTCATTCAGTGAACCCCAACTATCATTCAGAGGAGAAAATGAAAGCTAAACCCACCAGACTAGGCAGCTCTACATGAAACAAACCAGCCCAAGGTAAAAATAAGATGTTATTTAAAGAGATCTGCCTTATCCTTGGGCAGAAGCATTCATCCTTTTGCCTTTTTCTGTTCACAGCAACGTACCACTGAATTTGAAAGAGGGAGTACAAGGGAAGCCAGTCCTGCTAGTATTGCCTAACAGCACCACAGCAAAGAGAGAGCTTTGCAGTTGCTAAGCGCGTTGGTAACACGTTCAGACTCCGACTCATTCCTTTTGAGACGTGCCTATTTTCTGCCCACACCCAGGGCTGCCTATTTCTGGTTTTTACAATCACGGGTGCCGGCGTGCCAGGGAATGTGCACACAGGGAGGCACGGCTTTATCTGGAGGCTAACGCTGCCTCGTGTGAACCCCACTGCCATGTTTCACTTCTGCTTCCTGAGAAACACAAGCAGCCCGTGGCTTCTGCTACACCCTACCCAAACAAGTAACACAAGTGGCCCTTGGGAGCAGGCATAATGCTGCAACATCAATCAGACAGCAATCACCACCTTCGCTATACATCAAAAACCAGGTTTCAAGAACAGTGACAAAGTGAGCCTAGGAATAAAATGAGTCTTTTCCATATCCACGTCACATAGACTGATGAGTGCCCACAAACATTCTCTTCCAAATTTTAGCGAGAACTAAGTTGTTTTGGTTTTGTTTTTTCACCTTAAGAAGGATTACTTTGCTCGGAGGAAAAGGCTACTGGTAGGCAGGAGGTAGGCCAGATGGAAGAGAGATTGTTTTAACAGCTTCACTGTTAGCTTGGGCATTAATCTTTGAAAAGAAACTATGAAAAGTAAGTAAAATATAATTGGGATTTTACATAATAACAATCTTAACATGATAATGTAGAGGGCTTTTTAGATTGGGAAAGGGGAGGGAATGCGACAAATCTTCATAAATTTAGCTAATATTCACTAAAGATGAGACCTGATGAAAAAGGAGATTTTACTGCAAATCATTTGTGGCTTAGTCCTTGCAATTTCCTGAGGCAGTGATCGTGGTCACAGCTGGAGGCAGGTTATTGGGCTTGCTGCCCACAGGGCAGCTCCACATAAAGCTGGTCTTGCATTCTGGCAAAGTCATCGTTTGAATGATTTAAATACAGAAGAGACCAACCCTGTAGAAAGCAGCCTGCCCCAGCAAAGGAAAGCATCCCCTCAGATCTGCTCCCATCGGATGCACCAACCTAGATTTGCAGAGAGGGGTTTCCCTTTGTGGACAGGAACTACTCTCACCCTTTTGCTCCTCTTCCCCAGCCCTCACTGGCAAGGTTTTTCTCCTGAATGCCATTAAATACAGCATAACTGCACTCTGCAGCAGCTCAGATTTGAGTTGCAAATATGAATACAATGTCAGGCTTTGTATGACTAGCTATTTTAAGAGCACTATCAAGGCAGGAAAGGCATTTGCTCTAATGTACCCCTGTATAACTGCAGTGACAATGAAGGCTTGAAATAATAGTGGCTACTGCACATTAGACTGTTCAAACATATAATCAGAGAGTTGGTATGTCTCAAAACCCTGCACTATAAATCTGCCAGAGGGAAGGACAAAGGAAGAGTTGGTCAACCAAAACTCACTGGCAGAGCTCAGCCCGGATGCGAGCTTCTTGGCCTCCAGCCTGGCAGCCTGTGTGACTCCCCCGTGTGATTGCCTTCATCTAGAAGATACGCTGCACCTTTTCCAATCACGGCCCTTGGAGAAGTGCTGCTCTTACAGAAACAGCCCTGCTGAGGAAAACTGAAAACCAAAATGGGCTGCATCCCATTCACTTCCCATTGAGCGTGATGGGAATTCATTCACGCCAGGGCAGAATTTGGTCCATTTCATAGGCCTAGTTTTACAGACAAGGATTTTACCCCTGATGTAATTCTGACATGAATTTGCCATTACAGGAAAATAAACATTGAAGTGCAGCTTACCTAGAGCCTTCCTTTACACACTGCCCCACCAACATGCACACACCATAGCCTGGACATTTCTTCCTTAAAGCAAAAGGAAAGCTCATCATGCGTTGTACAGTTAAGTTCTGGCTTCCCTTGAATTCACCTTTAATATGCCTGTCAGAACATTTGCAATGCCACCTGGAGACGTAAGCATTAGTCCATGGAAAACCGAACAGACAAACCTGGACGGAGCTCAGGCAACTTGTTTCATGTTGGCTTAGACAGAGCTCCCAGCAAGAACTCCTAAAACCCACACATCTGGGTTGTATTTGTGACAAAGAGACAGCAAGACCCAGTACAAAGTTCCTGGGACACTCTTCCCACCCAACTGTCCCTTGCTGCTTGTTCCTTATGGCCTCGCTCAATGCAAACCAGCAGAGAGATTTAATAACTGATCAGAGAGACTGCATAGCCTTTAATGTCAGGAGTGTCTCTTCCCTGGAAGAGTTTGAAATGTAGTTTACAGAAGGCAGAGCTGCGTTTATACTTGTCAGGAGTTACCCAACTTGGCAAC